ACAGCAAGTTTAAAATAGTTGGGAAAGGTCAATATTCTTATTTTAGAAAAGACCTTTCAGTTTACTTATTTAGTTTTTTGTTAGTACTACTCTTAATTGTGTAGCTGCGTGTATATATACAAAAAGCATGACGGAATTCCATGCTTAATATTTTTTGATAAAACAAATCATTCTAACAAAAAAAGGTAAGACAGAATTTAGCCAGGCAATTCATTTTATAATAACCGATACTTTAGAACATAAATTGTGCTTATGATTGAGAGTAGTCATATTTAGAGGTGAAACAATTAGTCAATGTATCAGTCAAACGATGGGAAAATAAATATTTGTTTTGCTAGATTGAAAAACTATGGGTATTTCCCCGGTTACATTTTCTAACATTGGACAGATACTGCTAAACAGAATCTGTATATTAGCCTGAAAACTCCAAACTGAAATCAGGCCCTCTCTGAAAGTTGGTTAGAAAAACAAAAACAACTCTGGATTGGCTTTTTATTTGTGTCACAAAATAGGTGAAGCAGCTCAAATGCATTTAATAATATGCATTCAATGTACAATATCTTACAGTGTATTACATGACCATTGCTTTGATAATACAGCTGTGTGCAGCAGAAGGAACATCTAGGATTGATAAACACAAGCGTTTAGACTCAACAAATACACCTCCAAAAAATAAAACTTCTCTTTTTCCTTTAGTGATAAATGAACAAATACCACAGACGCAACAAATGTTTAACTGCTCCTGTTTGTCCGTGTGCCGTCTTCGGGGAAAAAGAGAACGTGTATCACGGTTTGTTGCGTTTCAGCGGGTGCTCTTAAATCAGAGGGGGCAGTGTGTGTGTGTGTGTGTGTGTGTGTGTGTGTGTGTGTGTGTGTGTGTGTGTGTGTGTGTGTGTGTGTGTGTGTGTGTGTGTGTGTGTGTGTGTGTGTGTGTGTGTTGGCAGGAAGAACAAACAGGCGACAATAGTGGTGCAGGGTCTTTTTTGTGGGTTGTCCTAAAGTTAGCATTGCAAGGGGTTCTCTCGACAAAAAGTAATGGTGTTTTTCCATTGGTGTTAGAAATATTGTAGAAAATAAGATCTTTGGCAAACACATTTATGATACTACGAAATGTTGTTCAGCAGGATAATATACAAATATTAATACCACTTAATGATTTTTTAAGCATAAATGCAATCGAGAGAAGTCTAGAGCTAACGCTAGGCTAAAACCGAACCCCGTTAGCAACCGCAGTTTTCACAACGCATTAAAAGCTTCGAGCATTTACACATTTGCTCTTACTGACATATTTAATGTCACAGAATAAAATCTCTTCAGCTTGTGTTAACCACAGACCTTGTATTAAGCAACTAACCAAAAACCACAAACAAAAACGTTGACTTCGAGACGCGGGAACAGGAAGTGGTAAAATGCTGACTCATTTCTGGGTTTTAGGACTTATTCCTGCACCACTGTATTCCTCAGTCATATGGACAGTGCATGTTAAGAGGTCAGTGAGACGGGATCCATGACTGTAGTGACCTCCACTACAAAAGGCCATTTTTGAAGAGATATAATTAATTATACATAAGGGATACTTTCTGACTAATTACGAGTATTGCTCCGTGGTTGTTCTTCCTTCTAGATAAAGGAAGATACAGGCAGTGCGTTTAGAAGCTTTATAGTATGGTGACAGATTTTCGTGGTGTGACCCAAGCAGACTTATATAGATGTTAACAAGTGTACCATGAGGCTTATTTGGTCTTAAACAGACTGGGGCTTGGGGAAAAAGTTAGACAGTTAGCTAGCGGAGCTTTTAGAGGTCAACATGGAGGTTTGCCACAGTTCTTGTGTTAACTAATTAATAACACAAGGAGGGAAACTGAAAGTCTCCCTCAGGCAGGTCCAACCTGGTTTCAAAATGATTTCCTCTCCAACAGTGTGGTCATATCTGGACGTTCATTACTGAATTTATTACAAAAAGCCTCTAAATTAGGCCAACTTAGCGGTTTCTATTGTTTGAAAAAAGGTCTGCTATTTAGCATTTAGAGAATCAGGATGATTGAAAAGCATTCACATAGTAGGAAGTAGGACAACGTTTCCCACCATTTGTTATGGGAAAATTAAAGCTGATATAATCAATAATTTATTTTTGATGAATTACTGTTTGTTATGCAAAAGAGGTTGCTCCTATTGACAAACACATAAAATGATCACCATATAAAGCTTGACGACGACTTCCAGATCTTTGTTGTGGTTTTCTGGCCCCCAAACTCTGATCAACGTAGTGTCTGCTAGCTGGCCAGCACCACGTGGCAGATATTCACAGTTAGAAACTAACCAGTTAAAGAGCTAAACATTTTTCAAACCCAGTTAAATAGAAAGTGAATATGACATTTTGTGGCCAGAAACACAACTCTAAAGTTGCTAACAAGTTTTGAATATAAAGTTAAAGAGTGATTTTATGTCATTGTTGTGTTTTTTCTAAATAACCCAAAAATAATCAGCCTCTAGAAAGATGAGAAATGAATTTGAAAATGCTGTGGAGACACTGTTAACCCTTTTTATTCTTCCTAGTTTAAAGTCCTCACCTCTCAGGTACATGATCTGTGCACATTCAGAAGTGTATTAGCAGTGCAGCTCTGTTTGCGTATACAACAAAGTAAAGATTCCCATGACAGTGCTGCCACTCAACTGCTTGGAAAGGTGAGTAAACTTTGCCCAGGCCTGCTTTATAGATGGTTTATCTTTCTGATCAATGTGTCCTCTGTCTGGTCAGCTGTTTGACGTTCATCTTCTACTTGGATTCCTTCTCGGCCTCCAGCAGTGAGGAGCTGATGCCCAACTTCTTCAGCTCCTCCACCAGATCTCCGTTCTGGTGCATCTGCAGCAGGATGTCGCACCCCCCCACAAACTCTCCGCTGAAGTACACCTGGGGGATCGTGGGCCAGTTGGAGAAGGCCTTGACTCCTGTGGACGTAAGATTGTGATGTGGTCAGAAATAAACTACAGACAATACTGTATCGGCTGACGAGAAGTAATGCTTTAAGCAACAGCAGTGTGTATGATTTCAACTAAAGAGCTAAGCTGTTAGCATAGGCAGTGATAGCCACCATGACAGGAACTCAATGCAGTGCAGTGTTTAAGAGATCACCAAAAAGTGGCCTTCTTTTCAAAAAACAATGACAGCACGAAGAAAATATATACAAAAAATTAAATGAACATGTTCTATACCACTTAGCATTACACTAGATATGTGTTATTTGGTGGCCTTTGTATTAGTATATATTACGTTTTATTGATATAAGCAAACATGATTAGGATAATGTTGCTAACTTAAACAAATGTTTTTAGGGCTTGTAAAGTTAACAGTTAATAAATTGGAAAGATAACTTTTGAACCAAATGTTAATAGTACATCGATTAAAAAGTCCAACAATCTACCTGTACCTGTCATAAAGGACAATATGGTACTACTTTAATAACGCCAAATATTAGGGCTGTGCATTATATTCATATTATAGCTATATCGTGATACGCGACAAGATATCTTCTTAGATTATGGATATATACATTTAATATAATATATAGCTAATAGCCATATAATATCTTATATGAGTGTTGTGTTGGTTTGAAAAGAATGCATTCCAGTCAAGTGATGTCATTTTTACTAAGGTTACATTTGGAGCTGCAAAGAATAAATGAACACAACATAAGTAGCTCATTTAGACTTTAAATGTGGTGCGAATACAACTAACCACCTTGGAATAATGCATGAACACTTCCTCACCCAGTTTATAGCCCTTGATTCTGGCAGATTTGAACCAGTCAGCTTGTCTCTATCATAACTAAGCATTACACTGCTGTTGCATCACAAGCCTACAAAGGACCAAATCCCATTAACTGGCAGTCCTGCTGTAACTGGAAACAACATGTTCCTTATTGACATGTGATGTCATTGTTTAAAATAAAGGTTCCAGTTATGGTTGTGTTAGGAGTAAAAGACAGACATCTTCACAGTAGTGGTGTCATGTTCTACTTTAAAAAAGGACCCCACCCGTTGGTGCTGCTGCAGAGCACTGATAAAAACGTAATACATCTCTAAATCTAGTGATAGAGAGCCGTTGAAGAAGGGCTGGAGTGTATGGTGGCCTTGTAAATAGTTATAAATGACAATGACAGCTGCAACAGACTGACATAACAATGATCTGGTCAAAACAATTACAAGCAAATGTCTAGTAACACTTCCACTGACAAATATTATGAAGTTTAGGTAAAAGTAACAAGTTAGATTGAGAGGTGACAACTTGTTGCTGTCATGTCATTAACAAGTTATCTCAGTTTGCTGACCTTCTCGGAACTCGGAGTCCTCTAATACGTTGTACGAAGCGTAGTCGTCCACCCCGTGCATCCGGAGGATCTGAACCACGGCGTTACTGAAGCCACACATAGGCTGGGCCGGAGTCCCCTTCATGAACACAACCACTTTGTCCTTCTGCACAATATCTCCAAGGGCTTTCTGGACGTCCGCCGCCGCGCACAGGAACCGGGCCGAGGACGTCCACACTCGTCCGTCGGCCTGTCTGGGCATGTAGACGGCTGCTCCAGACCGCAAACACCTCGCAGTATTTCGAATTAAACTGTTCATGATCTTTGGTGAGTTTTGTCTTTATCAGACGCGAACAAATGTCATACAAATAGACTAACCTGCTTCTGAACAAGCCTGAGTAAAGCCAGGCAGTCAACACACGTTACGCTCGAGAGATGGGGCGGGACATTAACGCTGATTGGACAGCTGCGCCCAAACAAATTATCATGTGATCTGCGATTGGTGCATACGTGCGTCAATTACCGTAGTTACACAATAAATAAGATAGTGTGATAATTTAATACAAAAATAATTCATAACAACTACAGTCACTATCACATAACTTATCAACTTGTATTTTATTGGGAAAATCTTATATTAAAAAAGAGTAAAATAATTATTTCCAGGTAACGGAAGCTCTAAAGAACTTCCGGGGCGACTTGAGCAAACCGGAAGAAGAGAGGAAGGCAGAAGCATTGAGAACGGTTGGAAAGATGGCGGCGCACACTCAGAAGAACAACAAGCCAAGGAAACCTGGAGGAAAGGAGTCGCAGCCTTTGATAATTGCCAAAACTCCGGCGGAGGAGCAGCGCCTGAAGTTGGAGAGGTTGATGCGGAACCCGGATAAGCCTGCTCCCATCCCAGACCGGCCAAAGGAGTGGAACCCGCGGGCTCCTCCGGAGTTCGTCCGGGATGTGATGGGCTCCAGCGCCGGTGCGGGCAGCGGGGAGTTCCACGTTTACCGGCACCTCCGACGCAGGGAGTACCAAAGGCAAGACTTTCTGGACAAGATATCAGAGAAAGTGAATGAGGACATCGAATATCTCGATAAAGTGGAGCTAAACAAACAGGCGGCCGATGATAGAACAGCGAAACGCAGGAAGAAGCGGGAAAAACTTAAGCGCAAAATGCGGATGGCAAAGATGGCAAAACTCGAGTCCAAAAACAAAGGAGAAGACGATGCAGAGAAGAGCTCGGAAAGCAGTTCAGAAGACGATGGGGAGCGGGAAAGGGAGGCTGAAGATGATGCCGAGGCTCCAAGCTTCATCATGGGGAGAAAGTGACTCCTTCTTCAGGGTGACTGCTCGGACAGGGTGCTGGTGTTGGTGCTGCTTGGTAGAGACATTTTGGGCTCATCAATCATGAAGCAATGGTGGAGATTGAGACCAGAGTTGCATTACATATGAAAAAGCACAAACAACAGTTGGAACCTGTCAAAGACAATGTGCTTCCTGTTGTTATACAACGAGAAAAACACGTTATGGATTGCTTTCCATAGCACTCAGTGTATTTTAATCACACATTGTCCCGGTTGGAAAAGAGATATGTTGAGAAACTTAAGATTTTTCATTAAGCTTTCCATAATATCGGTGAAATATTTCTAATTTTCATGTTTCAGCTAGAAGGTCAGGAGTAATGTCATCTGTCTTAAGGCGTTTTTGAGTTGGCCCAATTTTTTTTTGTCAGAATTTAGATTTATTGGCCCAATCCATATTTTAATGTTTGCTTTTAATAAAAAAATGTGAATATACATGGAAATACCGTTTGTTCACTTAACATTTCTCAACTCTATTCTTGTTGTCACTGTTAGATATGTCATATGCTAATGAGTGTTTGTATGTGTCACTCTTCCATGTTATCATCGTTGCAGCCTTGTGAAGTTGCTCCTCGCATGAAGTGTTGCTTGTGTGCACAACAAGGCTGCAGAAAGTATTTCAAAGAATGAAAAGGCGTGACTTCTCGAGGTTCAGGAGTTTCACGTGCGATGTTCTTTGGACAGACAACACCTGCTTTCCACGGTGGTGATGGCTTCACTCCATAGCCATTGCTTTTCTTAAGGCATGTAGAGTAAACTCCTGACAGCACGATATTGTTTGGAGCAACAGAAGCTCTTTGTGTCAAGCACTGTCAGCTGTCACAATAACGTACTGGATTTTACAGACAAAAATATCAGAAAACACTTGATCACTGATTATTTTCTGGTCTGTGTATATATATATATCAACTGACAAAATATATTGTTATTGTTTAAACTGCTTTTAATATGTTCTCCTCCTCACTGAGATCATACAAATGAACATGGAGTTTATATAAATGAACTATTTTCCTTTTATTCATTTTCATATGACTTGCAAAACAAATGAGACATCTGGTTTAGGTATTGGCATCAGAAATCAAAAAACGTCATCTCATAGCAGGGAAATTGACATTGTTACAGCAAAAGGGATATTGCAGATAAAAAGGCAAAATAAACTGGGTAGACTTACATATTAAATAAAGAGGCAAACAGACGATTAACAAAATAGCCAAGGTTTAAAAATAAGTATCCATGTTTGTAAGTGAACACAAACAAGCAGTGAGGTAGTGCCCAGTGTTATATTATTTACTAAATATACAAAATATATATTTTGGACAGGCAATGATTAGCAGTGTTCCCATGTTGATTTTACTTTGTGATTCTCCTTAAGGGAGAATTATTGACCTATTTAACGGTTTCATAATTCTTGTCATTTTAAAGTAAAAGTATTTCACAAAGAAATAAACAGTCGTTTAAAAAACAAAAAGACAATTTCAACCATTTTTTGAAATACAATGTTCTTTGAACCAGCCTATTGATATATGTAAAAAAAACAACCTTTAGAATATAGATAGGAACAACTGGTAACAGGTGCTCCTGAAATAAAGACTTCTGGAGCAGCGTTTTTATTACAGGTTTTCAGAGACGGTCTGTTTAAACTTGCACATGAGGCGAAATGTCATGCTAACTTTTACTGAGTTATTAGAAATCTACACACAGAATAGGCAATACAAACACCTGTGTATTTTGACCGTTTTGTTCCTATCTCTGATAGAACACAGGTTGTTGAAGCTAAATAGCTCTCATAATTGACAATAAAAACATCTTTCTTCCTGCACTGTCCACCAAACTATAAGTGTCTCTTCAGTGAATCTGCCCCCTCATGGTAGATGTCATTGATTGAACATGTATTGAAGTTCCCTGCCGAGCTCAGATGAGAAATAGAAAACTGTAATAAAAAGTAGGTCACGAAGCCGCATTTCACAGCTTGGTTTGTATTAATTTCATTCAACATATTAGTTCCACAATTTGAATTTAGGCTCCAACAGATACTTTTAAATGATTGAACACTTTACTCTTTCATTAAGGATTTATTATAATTACTCTAAATGTAAAATACCTATCTATTTGTATGTTTGATCTTTTCAGTGCAAAAAACACGAGTGTACCCTAAGCATGAGATTACATTCACACTATACATGCGTGAGGAAAACTAATGGTTTACTCTCAGGCAAGAAGGGTCAAATAGTTATTGACTTGTGTTGGACAGGTTAGAGCAGTCTGACTTACTAAATATATTAAAGATCCCAAAAAGTGTTACCAGAAGTCCCGTTGGCTTAGAGGCGAAGCCACATTTGGAACGACTTTTTAGTTTAAACAGTTTACAGTTTTTACTGAAGGTGGTGCAGTGGGGTTGCCAAAATGAGAGGCCCCTTTATGACAAAGTTTAACCAGACTCAATTTTCCACAAACGTCTCGCCAGCGACTATGGAGACTAACATGAAATAATTAATGGCATTGAGTGTTACAAACTGCTGTGTTTGGGGATCTAAAAAAACATTGAACACATGAATCTGTTACTCCAACTAGACTCAATTGTATTTCCATGTATCCACAGTAGCTTACATGTCATACTCCCACCATTGCAGCCCCCCATGCTGTTATAACACATGGCTGTTTTAGGGCTAAATGCCTTAAGGCCTCACTTTGTAGTCTGGTTTAAGCAGTGGTAAGGCAAGGCAAGTTTATTTATATAGCACTTTTCAACACAAGGCAATTCAAAGTGCTTTACAAAAAATGAAAGACATTAGATGGTAACCTAGTAGTCTACATTTACTTAAGAATGCTACATTTACATAAGGCATACTTTTTTTTTACCCCTCCGGGTGAAAATCAATATAAAAGAAAAATATTCTACAATATAAGCCCTCTAGAGTACTTTTGATGCCGGACGCAGGCCTTCTTTTTGTTAAATACTTTTATTTTACATTTTGATTTCAGAATATTTGCAGGGCTGCAAACTGTCAGGTCTTTTAAATTACTTTTAAAACACTTTCTCTTATGTTATTGTATTGCTTGTTTTATTCTCAAATGTAATAATATTGCTGTTTTTTAGATTATTTTATTCTCTGTGTATTGAAATGTGTTCGTTTTTTATTTAGTCTGTATAAGTCTTTATTATACCATGGGTTCTACTTATACTTAAGTAACGGATTTGAGTAGCCTATAACCACTGGGTATAAGATGGTGAAGAGGCCTATACAGACTTTTTACGTTTAAACAAGTTTCGGTTCCAGGTTTAACTATAAACCATAATAAAACGTTTCCACTTGCCTCAATAACGCATATTATGTAAAATAATGTAGGAAATCCTGGCTGCATCTGCTGGTTCCTGAAGAGAGTAATACTTTTCACTCCCTAAAGCCTGAGCTGAAGATGTATTACAAACCTCAGCAGGGAAACCATACCACCTGTAACCCACCACAGTAAACCCAGCTGATTCCCTCATTTTAACTCTGTGTGACTGCCTCCACATAGTTTTATGATCCGTAGCCTGCCAATAGGATTCAGGCTGAGTTCTCTCAGAGGGAGTGGAAGCTAGCGTGTTCAGGCAAGATACCCATGCCTCACTTTGCCTACAATGCCTCATCCTTATTTAGTCAGGAAACCTCAGAGTACCTCTAATTGCTACGAGAGTCTCACGTTTTGATGTGTATCTCCGCAATGGATCATACAAATATGTGGGAAAAGTGAAGTTGAATGAGAATGCAGGGCAAGGCCAACATGGATCCACAGAAGAAGTCCATGGGAGAGAAGGCTCAACATATTCAGCAGCCTGAAGGTACTGTGAAATGAAAGACTGACTCATGCTAATGATTCATATATTAAGCCACTGTGTGGTAATAGTACGTTAAATCAAGAAAACCGTAATTGCATTTACCAAAAAGAGACATTTTATTATCTTATTCTTCCTTAAATGTATTTCCTCAAAGGGATTTTTCCAGGTATGTGTATTTGGCATTGTGGCAACTGATTGCCTAATACACACTTCTTTTTTTACATGATTTGTTGTGTAGCATGTAAAACATGAGAAACAAAAGTAAAATAGGTCTCAATTGTCGTTAAATGTTGTCTTATATCAGAAAACACTTAGGTAGCCCCAAAAATACTTTATTTTCTTCTGACCTGAAGTATATCAATTTAGATTTGTGTTGTGAGTGTTGGATATATGAGCTCTAGGGCTGTCTGCCTTCTCTCCCATATAGTGGAATTAAATAGCACTGGGCTCATGGTGCTCTAATCTCCCAAAAGTACAATTGAAAAACTCAGCAAGGTCTCTTTCCAGAAATCATGACCCAGTTACTAAAGATAATCCACAGACTTTGTTTTGAGCATTCTCGTAAAATAAATATTTTCTTTCGAACTTTCGTTGCCATCCAGAAGCACAAGCCTGTCATCCATTAAGCCGGGATGCACACGTTCTTCAGCACAAACCACAAATGTGCTACAGAGTTAAAGTGGGCATTAACATATTCTAACAGTGTTTGGTAAATTACTGCATCTTAGTCCGTTTTCTCTTTCCCAGATGAGAAAAAAGCAGTGCAGAAGAGAACCTTCACCAGGTGGATGAATGGGTTTCTGCAGAGAGTAAGGCAGAAATCAATACAGCTTTACTGAACCATTATACTTCAGCTCATAAATGCAATCACCAATAAGGTTTTTCATTTGTCATTTCCAGCGTGAACCTCCGATTGAAGTGTACGACCTGTTCACAGACATTCAAGATGGAAGAATACTCATGGCTCTGCTTGAGGAGCTGTCTGGGTGCCAACTAGTAAGAGTCAAGCTAAATACTGGAAAAATATTAAAATACTATTAAGTTATTTAATTATCCTATGGTCCATTTTAGTTCAGTTCATTAGCATTCCCTGATAATGTTGCATACAAATCTGTTTTTATCTCACTCTAGTGCAGACCCGGCGCCAGGCCCTCCCATTTGACATTCCGGTAACACTTTACAATAAGGTATCAAAATGTGCTTAGTTACTGAGTAGTGAATAAGGAACGACTAGATAGTTAATGGTTAGTTAATGAGTGACTGTGATTGAATAACTGATGGTTAGTTACTGGTAAACAGACTGGGGAGCTACTGTATTAATGAATGATTCGTTAATGGTTAGTTAATGAGGAGTTCCTGGGTGACTTTGATTGAAGAAATGGTCCGCTGCAGCAGGGCACTTTTAAACCGGCCATCTTCGGCTGGCTTGGGTCCCACACTGGATCGACTGGTGGATGTGGATCCGACTCACGTGTTGCTGTCATCATTACTTACCTTACCATTACTTAGGCAGTTTGGGTACGGTAAACTCAAGTAATGCATACAAAAAGAGTAGTTACCCATTACCTAATGATTACCTTACCATTACTTAAGCAGTTTGTGTCCCCTCAAGTAAAGTAATAAATCAAAAACAGTAGTTACCCATTAACTCATCATTTCTTCACCATTATCTTATCAATAGTTAAGCATTTTAACAAACAAAAACTGTTGATGACAATGAAGGATCTACAGCCACTCAAGTTTACATTTTAGTTGAAAACACTTTTTAAACGTTTTGAAAAAAGTAATATATGATTATATAATGAACATGAGGAACATTACAACAAATGAAAAATAAAAACGACCTTTTATAAAATAAAACAAAACCCAAAGCTGCACTTTAATTATGGGCAAATAAAAAAAACAGCTGGACAAGAGAGCATCAATGTTTTAACGGGTCACAACTGCAGGTGACTCGTTATCAATAGATTATGTGGAAGAATGGACAGCGAAGCATCTCCTATGTCATCTGGCATTGATTCTGAGGACAACAAACACACAATGTCCTTTAACATCCATGTTGCACGTCACATCACCACATCACTGCTCACGTCACTGTCATAGTATATACACATATTACAGAATTGCAGAATAACTAGAAATTGCCAAGATAACATTACCGTATTTTCCGGACTACAAGTCGCACCGGAGTATAAGTCGCTCTTGTCAAAAATACGTGTCGTTAAGAGAAAAATAACATGTAGGCTATAAGTCGCTTCGGTGTAGGCTATAAGTTGCATTTATCCACTGAAGTTTTCATCCTCTGTGTTGCTGTGAAGGTCTCACTATCACTGAGCTAGCTATCCATCCAGTTAAACACTTTCAAAGAAACTCCAGCACAGATGTCAGCTTTACTGAAGTTTAATGAATTGGTGAGACTGTAAACACAATACAGACATGGCACACTGTTATTAACTGCCCGACTGACTGAGCTGAATAAACAAAATAATCCACACAATGAGCTATGGCACATAATACTGATACGCTAATTAGCCTAGCCACTAATTAGGTTAGCCACTCGGAATTCTCACTGTATTTATACAGTTCCACAATAGGAGTCGGAAACAGGCCTCAAGTTATTTGGTTTAATAACTCCTTTGATACACACTATACACTTTGTCACAGGTTCAGTGTTGTGCTAGTTACTGAAAACCAGTAACTAGTTACCATTACTAGTTACTACTCTTCATTTCAAAAGTAATTCAGTTACTTTACTAGTTACTTACACCCAAAAGTAATGCGTTACTGTGAAAAGTAACGTTTTCGTAAAAAAAAAGTGCTCCCATTAATGCCCTTATAGCCTTCCTTTCAGTACTGTTATTGCATTGGAGAATAATACAATCTGTTGATCAACTTGACATGCATTATATGCAATCTGGATTGCATCGATATTAGCTGGCTTTCCATTTTTGTATATTCTTTCTCCAGGTAGTTGGAAAAAGTTTTCCGTCCCATATGCCGTGTGCCGCCCGGACATGCTATCATGCTAACTAGCTCCCTGAAAGCGGGTGACTCCACTGTAGCAATAGCCTGCATGTGTTCTACAACATACCGTGCAATGGCTTTATCGACTTTTCCCTGGCTAGCAGTCCCTCGGTTAAAATCCAGCCCGTATGTGTGTGTGAAAGAATGTCTTTCACACACACATACAGGTTTTGGGCCGAGGGCGACACCGTACTTCCGGTATCCACCATTTCACACGAGGTGCAAGCAGAATATCATAGTCTAATCAATATCTAGTCAACTCTAAAATACCACATATATGCATTGGCATGATAATATTATTGTGACAAGTGGGGTATTCACCTGGTGTTTCTAGAAGATAGACGTAGATGCTGCCAAAATCGACCGAAGGCCACTTTCGAGAGTCGTTTTCCATACATCTGCAGGCAGTCTGTAAGGGCAATCGGACAACCCACACAGCTCTAGTTTACGCTGGTAACGACCTAGAGCACACCCCTCAAGTCCAGAGATGTAATCCGAAGACATGCAGCGATTTCTTCGGTCGTTAATTCAGAAAAAAAACCTAGTGCGCTCTGCCTGGCTACGTTAGCTAGCTGTTTATATTAGCACCTCCAGGATATTAGCACCTCCAGGAAAATGGCGTAATTCTATATAGATATATGGCGCGCGTTGCATTGTGGGTAGCTCGTGACGTCACTGTGTGTGAAAGAATATGGGACGGAAAACTTTTTCCAACTACCTGGAGAAAGAATATACAAAAATGGAAAGCCAGCTAATATCGATGCAATCCAGATTGCATATAATGCATGTCAAGTTGATCAACAGATTGTATTATTCTCCAATGTAATAACAGTACTGAAAGGAAGGATATAAGGGCATTAATGGGAGCCCTTTTGTAAAGTAACGAAAATGTTACTTTTCACAGTAACGCATTACTTTTGGTGTAAGTAACTAGTAAAGTAACTGAATTACTTTTGAAATGAAGTAACTAGTAATGGTAACTAGTTACTGGTTTTCAGTAACTAGCACAACACTGCTACTCAGTAACCAAGCACATTTTGTGTACCTTATTGTTAAGTGTTACGACATTCCTGCCCTCCCCCAATAAACACGTTTTTTATTATTTATGAACATTTAAATATTTTCTTTTAATTATAAATGAACTGTGAACTTTAATGCTACGATGCATGTGATGTCAGATAGTAATGTAAGAGTAATACATGAACAAAAGTTATGAAATACTATATGACAGTAAAACAAGAATACAGTTTAAAAGGGGAGTGATTTGTAAAATATCCATAAAGAAAAAAAAAATCAGTTTACAGTTCTGTTTCATATGGGTGTTGTTGAGAGATGTATCCATAGATCTCTTAATTTTGCTCTCAAAGTGCAACAGATTGATGCTTTTAACTTCAATATAAAAATAAAAAAATCTTCCCGGGGGAGCATGCCCCCGGACCCCCCTAGAGCAGGTTAGGTCCACCCCCCACAAAAATAGCACTTTACCCCTGCTTACACCTATATGCCGTGAGCTGATTCATTGTAACAGTCGCGGGTGTACTGTGTATGTGCGTATGGGGAGTGTTGCATTAGAAAATTAAACTGTAGCGCCCGGTACATTAATGGGAACATGTTTGAGCAGCCTCTATGAAACGTCAAGCTACCCCACAGCCCCCCCAAAAGAAAATCTCTGGCGCCGCCACTGGCCGCGGCACATGACGGTTTATGTGCCCTCCCATGAAAATCATATGCCCTCTCTGTAGATTTGTTCTGGCGCCGGGTCTGCTCTAGTGTCTGTAGGCTACAGCAAATATGAAGCTACAGCCAGCAGGCGGTTAGCTCAATTTAGCATTGGCTTAAGATTGGAAAGAGAATGAAAAAGCTAGCCTTTGTCAAAGGAAACACAATCCAACTTAAAGCACCATTAAAGCTTGGTCGAGAAATAGGTAGTCTCAAAAAACGTTATTGTTTCCTTTTGTCACAGCAAAGCTAGCTGTCACCCCATTTCCTGGCTTTATGCTGAGGTAAGCTAACCGGCTGCTAGCCGTAGCTTCATATTTGCTACCAATCTCCGTATCTAACTGTCAGCAAATAAGTATGTTCCCTAACACCAGAGTTGGGAGTAACGCGTTACTTTGTAACGCGCTACTGTAATAATATTACTTTGCCGGTAACGAGCAGTGTAGCGCGTTACTTTTATAATTTAGTAATCACACTACAGTTACTAACATTGCCCCGCCACGCGTTACTTCGTTACTTTTATAAAAATAATCACACTCACTGACAGACAAGAGGGGTTTCCGCCGCAGGTTTACAGTCTATGGTTTATATACATGTAGGCCTATGTAATCTGCGCGATTTGCGAGACCACATCTCCACGTGCAGTGCTGCATAAACATGGCTGAGTCTTTTCATCTGTAAACTCCTCTTATTATACATCCATGGTCAACTCCCTCAATGGGGCCGCTCGCTCTCTTTTGTTGATTGCCCTCTCACGGGTGAACAATTCAATGTCCCGCTTCATTGTAGGAATTCTGCCATGTCTCTACCATTTTAGTTTGACCATCTCTGTTACTAAGTTATGGAATACTAAATAAATAAGTAATTAGATACCTTACCGTTACTGCGCTCATAAAGAATGATAAGAATAATGCGTATTGAACTGGTTTCATTAATTAGTGTCTTGACGTTTCACAGACTGTTAGCTTGTTGTGGTAGGCTGGTAGCCTATTTTAGAGCATATACAAAGAAAGACTTGTGTTATGTCTTCCTTAATGCAATAGTAATTGGGGTTGCAAGTGGAGTCTCGCAGAGGCAAAACTGTGGCGCGCTTACACTGTAGGTGCGCCGCAGTCTGCGTGATCTGCCTGTAGGGAGGGACGGGCCGGCCATGCGAGTAAAGTAACGAGTAAAGTAACGAGTAAAGTAACAAGTAAAGTAACGAGTTACTTTATGTCGAGAGTAACGAAGTAGTGTAATATATTACTTTATTT